GAGCACAAGCTTCCTGCTGCTTTCTCTTGATAAACTGCTGCTTTGATCATTACATCATCACTCCAGATGCAAGAGTGCAAAATGTTACTGTTTGGTGCTGGACAAAATTTCAGAGGCGACTAACTGCACCTGAAAAACTTACAGTATTAGGTGCAATTCAAATGACAAGTGCCTCTTATTTAAAATTCTGGGATACACAGAAGGCAGGCGCTCACAAATGCTATTCACACACATTTAATATTGCCTGGAGTACATCTGAATGTCTTCTGTTTCTATTTCATTTCAGCTCGTTATGTGCCGCCATCAACTATCTGCATCAGTGATTTGTTCTTCAGGCCACTTTCCCATCCACAACCAGAGCACACTTTGCCTGACAATGATGTCACAGCATGCAACGTCAGAATCATTCCATTGCCCTGACAATCACAGACAGAAATGTATTTTGTGTGGCACAATGGGAAGAGATGCAGAAACAATGTGGGCAGGCACTGTTAACATCTTCATGTTGGCCCCTATTAAGAGCAACCATCCCAGGTTACACAGTACAGTTACACAGCAAATCTAGTGTATTATTAGAGATTTCATTGCATCACTAACAATGTGATCTGCTCTAAAACTGGAAACAGGGCCACAGCTCAGTGGTTGGTTGGCATCCATCGAGAAATAATGAAGGAGTGAGTCTTCAGGGATGAAGTCAAAGCATTAGAGAGTTACAGCACCTGCTGTGGCTGCAGAGGCCAATAGGGGAGAAGCATATTCTGTTGCAGCTGGGACAGATGAAGGCATCCAATTGTGCTGATGAAGGTATACAGTGGTAAAGCACATAAAAATGATTATGGATTCTGCCCCTGGGATTTCTAGGTGTGTGTGTTAAATATCTCAAGTGGCATGGCTAAGGACGAAAAGCCATCTGCGATTATGGATGGCTGCTACCAGTCAGGAAGCGAAGCTTTGAGGACTAGCCGCTTCACACATTCATGACAACTAGGATACGTTACTTCAGTTGCCACTCAGTCACCAAGGCAGATGTCATGGTTTGTGGGTACAGACAAATGGAAGTACAGATCAGAGCTACTGGGATGATAAAAAGAACCAATAACAGCTAATGGATATATCTTGAAGGTGTCTGATAACATCTTTCTTTATGAAGTCTACTACAATTTGCTTCATTTAGAGTTGGGCTTCCATTTAGGGGAAAAGGGAAAAGAAACAACTGAACAGAAACTAGATTTTATCATATTTGAAAGAGGAAATGAAGTTCTATGGTCAGTCACCAGAATGCTGGGAACAAAAGGTGAAACAGAAAGGGATCAGGATGTTTCTACAGAGAAAATGCTCTAAGCTATATAAACCTGCTAGTGAGGAAACTCACACTGAACTACTTGTTCTTTTCTGAGTGGCAAAACAGCAGAAACACACACACACACACCCCCCTCAAAAAAACTCTCATCATCTGTTGTTTCCTTACTTTCCTAGCCACACACATGCACGCTGATGGTGAAACAGCAGCAAAGAAGACAGAAGCCTACTGTTTATGCACTTATGTGGGTACAGAACAGACTGACTCACTGCCTAGAGTCAACGTTGATTTCTCACTCTCCATAGCTCACCCACTCACTGGATTCTCCACTGCACCTTTAGCAAGCTGGTACATTAAAATGGCTACTCCTGCCCTGATTTTAGACAAGTAGCATTCATAGGGTGTCCTTTGACATGCTAAGTGAGCCCCTGCTACTGCTTCAAGACACTTTCTCCTCTTATTTCCAGTCTCATCAACCCCCCTCCTTTCTTATGCAGCAACAGCATCATGACTAATTTAATTACTCCAGAGACTACTTAAGTAGCTACTTAATGGGTATGTGAGAATGTGGCTGAGAGACTGGCTGGTTGCACATGACAAGTTAAACCAAACCTTGACTTACCCAGACCAAAGGAGTACACATTCCTGGAGAAGGGTTTGCAGCTGCTTTGCTCCTTCCTAGTTCTTTTGCACCATGCCAAGCAGGCTTAGTTTATCATGCCATCCAAACCAGGACTCGTGGTTAAGCTCCTATCCTCACTAACCAAGAGCTATAACAAAATACAAGCCCTGATTACAACTTGTGGGTAAGTGGAACCTAACCACAAGTCCCAGTTTGGATGGCACACTAACTCAAACCTTGGCTTTGCTCAGCATGGCAGGAAGAATTTGGAGGAGAAAAGTGGCTGTGAGCTCTTCTCCAGCAGCCCACACAGTTGCATGGTCTCACTAAACCAAGTTTTGGCTTAGCATTTCATGTGCACCAGGCCAATGTCTGCATTGCACACTAGAAATGGTTCTGGCATGACTTTAAACCGTATCCAAATAAATCCTAGAAAAAGCACTTCTGGGATCACCAACACTCAGCATCAATAAGATAACACTTGGCTAAAGCTATGGTGCCCAACAACAATTTATGACTGTGGCACAGATATGCTCAAAGTGGTGAGGGAGTAGTCATCTGTTACATATGACCACTGCCCCAACTGAGCACCTGCCGCTACTTCCTGAGGCACACACTCCACTACAACTTCCCCTCCCTAGTCAGAAAGTGTGCCAACTGGCATCTCTCAATCCTTTTTATATGGGAAGAAGCCAGGGAAATCCTTTGGGGCCAAGGGATAGCAATACTATAAACTCTCCACAAGCCTGGGAAAAGGGAGTAGGAAGGATGGATAGCTGAATGGAAACACTGGATTAGTAAGGAAGCTGGTTGTAGAGGAGCCTAGGACCTGTGTATGTGTTGTTTATCTGAAATCCTATGCATATGTACCTAGGAGCAAGTCCCAATTAGAATTCAATGTGGCCTACATGCATAGGGGTGCCCTTTATGTCTATAAGCATTTAAGATTAGGAAACATTTATTCTTATAGTTAAAATGATTCTGTAATAGGAATATATTTTACTATACTTATGGGTCTACCAGTTATTTCCAAATTTCAAATCTTCTGCATATAACCTTGGAGTCATATAAGTCACTAGCCATTCTGTGTAATTCTTAACAGTTTTCCTGAAGAATGTGCGATAGAAGATCCATTTTTAAATCAGAAAATTATTTTCAGCACAATATTTTTTACCAACAAAAACTTTGGCAATCAGATGCAAGAAAATGCTACGCTGTTGCTTTTTGCAAATCCTTCTGTTGGCTAATCATATCAGGATTAAAATAAGCATTTCATTTCTCTAAGAAACCGAAACATGCAGCCCACTTCTATATATCATGCTTTGCAAAGCAGAATTTGCAAACAGAGAACTTAACCTACACTTTCACCTATGGACAACAACAGCAACAAAGCCACTGATTTTAATTTTGACTTCAGTTAGGAGTTTCACTTGAGTGAATGTGGAATCAATTCCTGAATCAAGAAAAAGAACTGTCCGGCTCTGTCATGGTACATGGAGCCTACTTGCCCTGAACATTCTTACCAAGAAGTGGTAAAAACCTATACTGAAAATTACTGTGAAAGAAAGAAAGAAAGAAAGACAGAAAGAAATTGTTTATCTCTTCTATTAGTTGCCACTGATTTCAGACAATGCTTTTGATACCATTATTTATATTTAGTTTGTGTTAATCTCACACACACGTTTTGCACTTCAGAAGCATGCAGAACCACAACATTAATTTGAAGAGGGGACAAAGCAACCAGTCTGAACAAAATTAATGGATATCCATGGTTATGGTCACTCAACCTTTAGTATGCAATTTGCATTTTGAATTTTTATTCTTTTACCTTGTGACAGAAAAATGAAACTATGACCAAATGGAAAATGTTTGCAATTTCATACTACTACTACTAATAATAATGCTATGGAGATGTGAATGAAGTTTGCTATGGCAACATCTTTACAAAAGCAAAACAACAGAAAATGAGACTTTAAAGAATAAAATTAAATGCATATTTTTCCAGTTTGCTTGCAGAACAGAGGAATAAGACAAAGCATGAGTGATTGGGGGATGACAGCAGTTTTCAATAAACATGGATTTTGTGCTGCTTTTTAAGGAAGTCAAAGGTGCTTTCGATCAAAATTCAGAATAAAGCATTCCTCAATTTGATAGTATCCTTATCTGACTCCAATGAGGTGAACCCAGATTTTAAACAAAAGGGAGAGATTCAATGCAGTGAGTGTCAGCTTGCACAACAAAGCTTTCCCTTCCTCTCTCCTCTACCCTGCAGCCTCCCCCCACAAATGGCCCCAGTATCTGCTCTGGTGTGTTGGGGGAATCTTCTGGAGCAGATTTGGGGGGGGGGGGCTGCAGGGTGGAAAAGAGAAAAGAAAGTGTTAGTCCTGTTGCATAAGCAAATTTCCATTATGTATGTTGCCCAATAAATCTAATCTGAAATGCTGTAACAGTAAATTATTCTGGGTGAATTATTCTCCCCTCAAGTAGAGGAATTATATGTGTGCCTTCTGTAACAGGTAAGTAACATTTTTCTGCTTTAAGCATTTGTCGGTTTTATTATCTTCCTATGTTCCCCTACATATGTTCATTATGACAGACAATTTCTCAGAAAAGACAGAATAAAGAGCAATTATTCAAAATTAAAGGAAGAAAACTATGTCATCTACCGGAATATTTGTAAAATATTGTGAGCAATCCAGGGCAATTTAGACATTCCTATCAATGGGGCCACATACTCTGGAGTGTACCTCATTCTTTGCAAGCTGAATAGTTATAAATGTCCACACCCCTTAGACTGGCAATAAAATTATGAGAGCTGCAAAGTCCGGATGTAATGATGGGATGTGGCAGAAGCATAGTGGGTGACTGGAAATGGTGCAACTTTTCTGTAGATCATCTGAGGGCTGGCACTGCCAACATAGCACATTTGGGGGGGGGGCAAAAAATGTTGTAAATGTTTGCAGATAACATTCCTAGAACTCTCAGTGACATATGGATAAACACAAACGAGGCATCAAGCTCCATGTACAAACATGCCTCCCCCCCATTTCACAAGCATCCCACCTTAGCTGCACTCACCCGTTGGAACTTCTGTCCCCTCCTCAATGCGGATGGGCAGTGCTGGTTCCTCCATAGGGTGAGGCACTGATAGAAAGTAATGAATGATGGTAGTATTTGACGCAAAATGATTACAGTAAGATGGTTCCTTCTTAGCATTACAGTTACAATGAGACTGGCGATAGCTATGAGCAATCCACTTTCCATACTAAGAAATGACCTGCTTCAAAAAACAATCCTAAATCATGACAAAGACCATCTCTGAGAATGCATTTCTGTCTGAAAAGGCTCAGATCATTCCACCATCTCTGAAATACTTGAGCACAACTGCCTTAAGAAGTATTTATACTTAAGGGCTATACACTGCTCCCTCAAAATTAACACTGCTGCAGAGGATTTAATTTTGTTAAATGTCAAGTTTAAAAAAGGAAAAAGTATCTTAACTAATAAGAGGATACCGTTCCAAAATTACTGTACATTTTAACAAATCTAGTATTTGACAATGTGCCTGTTTTAACTCTCATGAGAGCATTTAACTCCCATTTAAAAATTCATGCTGCAGCAGTCCAAAAAGCCAAAGCACTAAGCCACAAACACTATAGAGATTATGAGCAAAAATAAACGTATACAAAAATGTATATGAAGAAGAGTCTTCACAGGTTATCTGGATATGCAGAAAAGGAAGCATCAAGACTTCCAGTTTCACTTTACTGATACATGTCTAAGCAGGTAATAAAGGGGCACACTGTTATATATTATATGCACACCCAGGTTTGTACACATGATACATATGTGTACAAATCAAGACCCATGGCACTTTTTGCAGTCTGTGTATTTATCTCCTTTTTTGTTGTTGTTGTTATATCCCATTCCTTTTCTACATGTAGATGTGTGAAAGATATTCACAGAGTGAGAAGGAAAAGGGCAAGGGGAAAAAGGAGAAAAATGCCCTGCTCAAGCAGAGGGCTGTAGAGGAACTGGGCTTGGAGAATGGACACCAGTTTTTCCTTTCTCTTGTCCTCTGAAGCACAACATGGCATTCCTCCTTGCTTTTTAAAGAACTTGAAGGAGGGGAAAGTTTGGAGCTAATGCCTCCTCTGCCCCCAGCTTTACACAGTGAGGAAGCATTACATTTTGCAGGTTAAATGGCCTTTGCAGAGAGCAAATTGAGCCCAAGGAATGTACTAATCAGAACAGAGTATTCTCCAAAGCCAATTCCTTTTCCCAATCCAGCAATGGGCACAGAAAATACACACCAGACTGACCTTTAGCCTACCTCCCAACTCCAGGGGCCAAGAACTCATGTGTGGGTGCTGCTCTATGTTGCTAACATTTCAAGGTAGCTGGAGGGCAATGAGCATGTGAAACCACTGTCTTCAGCCTGTTTTTGAGGGTTACTGGGAAGCCATGTGTGTAGTAGGCCATTTAAAAACACAAGACCCACAATTGCCCTGCATACCTCAGTGGTATGTAGGCATCCAGTCTGACCCTTTCCCTTCACTAGTTCTGCTGTCCAGCACATCCACATGCAGCTAACCCTCATTTGAAAATAGGAACGGTGATGGTTTAATAGTTTAGAAACTCTGTCTCTCTATCATGCTAACCATCCAGAGAGGCCCTGCACCTTACTGAGCTGGCCAATTATGACATCCAATGAGGCCAAGGGGACTGAGATTCTATGTTATGCTCATTTCATGGGTTTGCCTGTCTAGGCTGGGAGTTTCCTCCAAGAAGCTAGTAGATCCCAGTTCTCCCATTCCTACAAGTAAACTTTAATTTTCTCTGGACAGCACCATTTTACCCCTAACCACTCACCAAAGTCCCTGCACTCAGCTGCCATTAATATTACTGCTATCAGGCTTAACAGGCGCAGAAGATGCTGGATCAAGAGGTGGCAATAATGACAGTGAGTGAGGTGGCAATAATGACAGTGAGCACTTTAAACACTGCTCCCACGGAGAAACATCTTATTAAATGGCATCTGTTGGGACCTTTGCATGTTGTATTGCAGAGGATGAAATGTGCAAATGGACTGTGTGCCGCTGTACTGTAGTAGGAAAAACACACAAAATGGGGTTCTATCGTCCATTTCTCTAATTGGCTAACCATGGCCTGGGATGGCCTGCCTTTGGCAGCCTTCCCCAACCTGGTGTCCTCCAGATGGTGTTGGCACTCCAAATCCCCTCAGCTCCGGCAAGAATCACCAATGGTCAGATGTTCAACTACAACTCCTCTCACCGCTGGAGGGTACTAAGTTGGCAAAGACTAGCCTATGGTGTGGCTGGCAGGCATTTCATACATCCCAAGAGGAGGAGGCAAGGAGGGAAATCTTCAAAACCTATACCCACATCTGTTGAGAATTAAGGCAGAAAGGAGAAAATTCTTCCATTTTCCTCATCGCAATATTTTGCAATGTTCCCTTAAATCTGAATGCACTGCTAGTTTATCATGCAAAACAAGGCCATGGCTTGAAGGCAAAAGATGTTTGCAATCAAATTTGCCTCTACAAATGGAGGTACTCAGCACAGAAATGATTACCTATGGAGAGTGTGCTGCACAAGCTGCTTTTTATTCTAGCTCAACTAGTACTTCAGCCCCATAAGAACATTTGTTACCATAGCTTTTAGCTACATGAACCCATTGTTATGCAAACATAGGGCAGCACTATAGCTAAATACTTACTTTAAAAAAACAAAAACCTATTGTTTTATTAGACCTTTACCCAGGGCTAACATTCCTGAGTTTGCCACTGAGTTACGGACAGTGTGCACAGAGAATGTCATATAAAACAGACTCCATACTACAAAGGAATGCAATAATTTTCCTCTCCAAAGCAGATTCTGCTCCATCAAAACAAAAACAAAAAACTTAAACCTAAGTGAATTTACAAATTTAATTATGCTTTTGAACACAGAGACAAATTTTCAAAAGAACTGTGTGTCCAAGGGGTTCTTTAGTCCTGTGTTTCGCAAACAGCAGCCCTCTCGATGCATGGTTAAACTGAAGGGAAACTCATAAGCAGTTTGAGATACGGCATGGTTATTACTATTTAGAAGGGTATGTGTGCATGGGTGTAAAGTCTTAGTGGGCGTACCCAAACTTATGGGCTTAGACAATGTCTTTGTAAGTAACCAGCCAGAATTTGCAAGTAAGCCCAGTCCATGAGCAGAATATACAACTGTTTTACTGCAACCTGCTGCTCCATTTGGTCTGAGAATGATGCTCATGCAGAGGAAGGGAACATTGAGTAAAAGGAGTTGCTTAATGCAACTAAAAAAAACAACATTGATGGCTGCTGGGACTGGCTCTCTAGCACAACCTAGTGGTTAAGACTCTTGCTCATTCATTCAGGGTGAGTCACTGTTTCATGTAAATAAATAGTTTGCCAGACCTCAAACTGCCCTGTGATACATAGATCAGCAGACTGACTGCATCCTGTTGCTGTTCTTTGAAGGGGAAGGGGACTGGTAATTGTCTATATATACTTATATTCATGGCTGTCAACAAGTAATGCCAAGAAATCGTAGAAAAAGCTTACAATATCTACATACTATCTGAGGCCACACGCACATATGCACACGCCAACTTTGCAAATACTAACTTGGATTATGTTATATAATCCAAGAAAAACAAAGTGTATTTCAGCACAGAAATGGCAGCAGGAAAATTTATACTGAGCTCGTACACTGATTTGCTCTATGGCCTTGGAGAAATCTCTTACAGTGCAATCCTAAGCATATTTACTCTGAAGTCCCATGTAGTTCAAAGAGAGAGAAAGGACTTACTCTCTAGTAAGTGTACCTGTGATTGCAGTGCTGATTACTCTTCATCAACTTCTATTTCTAAAATGAGGGCAATAGCAGTTACCTACTTGTTCACATGAAACCCAGCACTTTTGTCAAACTGCTAATTCAAGTCAGAGTTTGTTGGCTACTAATACTACGACAACGACAGTAACTACTACTACTAACAGCAGCATTTCTAGTTTGGCCCAAATCGCTTGCTCTCTCAACCACTATTTTGTAAATTTGAAACAATAGGAACCCCACAAAGTTGGTAAGAATATATGCAAAACAAAACACTGATCCAGAATGGGATGATCTGTGCACATGTTCTGATCACAGATCACCTTAACTATACACAGGAGTAAGAAGAGGCTCTGCTAGAGGGAGCAGACATCCACGTCCAGCAGCTCCAATTCTTATGTAGTTCCCACCCTATAATAATAATAATAATAATGCTGAGTATTTATCACTACATGACAGTAGCTTATTTTCTGCAAGCAGTTTTACTGTCCTATGAGCAGATGGTGAATATTTGGAATTCTGGAACATCTGAGCTGCACTGCTAATATTTCGCTATTTTCATTAACGAGCATTAATAACACTTACATGAAGAAGAGTCTCTCCAGAATGGATTTTCTCTTCCTGTTTCAGAAAAAGAAAAAATAAAATAAAATAAACAAAAACAAAACAAAACAAAACAAAAAATAAGATGCTAATGGAGGGGAAAATATGGACATAATCCTACCAGATATGAATGCCACATGTGTGTTTAAGAACTCCAGATAACAACAGAGTCTGCACTACCAGGCAACTGTTCCTCCCTAATTTTCCGCTTTAATCTTTCATACAATGTGCCAGCTTTAAAAAAATGAAATTCTGGCAAACTGTCTCAAAAGTCAAACTTAAGATCCAGAAAAATTAAGTTCCTGCAGCAAGACAGGGAGGCTTATCACTTTCCCTGGGATTTGTTTGTGCATCATTGTCTAGGATCTCCATTGTTTACAGCCATTTTCTAGCACCGAAAGGTCCTCTGTGGCCTACAGTAGGGACTCTGATCTTTTAGTCTTGAAAAATGAAAAGCTGAAAAACAGCTTAGGAACATAAGAAGCTGCCTTACACCAGGTAAGTTTGTCCAGTTAGCCCAGTATTATGCACTCTTGACTTGCAGTGGCTCTTCAAAGTCTCAGGAAGAAGTATTTCTCACAACATTCTACTTGGTCCTTTTTAATCTAGAGATGCCGGGGTCTGAGCCTCATACCTTCTGCTTCCAAAGCATGTGCTCTACCACTGAACTCTATTTCTGGCTTTGGGGCACAGCAACTGCTTCTGGATCTCTTCTTGCCAGAGACCTAGTCTGCAAATAGGTACAGGGATCAGTAGAACTCTGTAATGGTTCTCAACTACCGGTACCTCTTTAGATCCTGCAAAGCAAATACCCTCTCTGGGTCCTATAGCGGATTCTGCTGGCATAGGGCAGGGAGCTGGCTCAAGTATGAGAGGGTGGACTGGAAGGCAGAGAGAATGGGATTGGAAACTGAAGAGTACCAAGGCATCAAATTTCTCCCCAAGTCTGCAGTTTTGACAGGCCTCTACTACATTGTTCTTCTAATGCCCACATTCTGGTAGCAGCCTGAAGTCTTATCTATAAGCAAGAGTTAAAATAATCTGTGCTAAGGAATTTGTGCAGTTCTGCAAGAGATGGGGAAGAAGTAGAGATAGTAACAAAGTGTATTTCGTGTCCTGACAGTCTCTAACTGAAAATAAGCTGCCTAGGTGTATTCTATTAAAATAGCTAAACACCTCTTCTGTACTTACCAAGGCAGGATGTGGTGTATTGAGTCACTTCTGCAAGTGCACACCAAACATTTAAAGCACATCTGTCCAAAGAATCCTGGGAATTGTAGTTTACCCTTCACAGAGCACAATTCTTGACATCCTTAACAAATACCTCCAGGATTACCAGGATTATTTGGGGGTAGAGGAGAATTTGCTTTAAATGTTTGGAGTATACACAACATCAGGCTGAAGTGTAGTTTCAATGCTATCGTCAAACTATTGTGTACTTAAGCATGGCTTGGATATAGGCTGAGCAGCTATAAAGCTGGGTTTCATTAAGTCTAAAGGCAGTCCTAATGTAGAAAACAAATTCCTCCAGCTGCAACTGGAGTTAACTACTATAAAATTTGTTGTGCATGCCAGGCTAAAGCTAAAGTAATTCATACAGGGGGCTAGAAGCTACTTGTCCATTAAAAATACACTTTGTTTCTGCTAGGCAAGGGGATATATGTGGGAATGTGCAGTTATTCTACATTCAGTTTCAACAGTTTAACAGGTCTATTAAACTTGGCAGTGTGTATAAAACTGAAAAAAATCAGAACAATTTGAACACAATGGTATATCACAAAGCCACAGAGCTGGGCTTCTCATTCTGTGGACCTTGAAACATTGTAGCTCTTGGTGTTATTTTTATCTTTCTATAACTTGCTTTAGGTGGAAAATATTTTTAAGTCTAAGCTACTGCAAGCTCTTAGAACTTGAACCTCTGCAACATCTGGAATAATTTTCTGAATTAACAATAATTAAACAAAATGATAATGGTGGTGGGGTGGTGATAATGATATTGTTAAAACTAAAAGTAGTTGCATTAGTAATAACAATAAAATTAAAAATAATAATGATATAAATAATAATTTAAAAGAAACAATTCAGCATTGAAAAAAACCAGTATTATTACTTTCTCTGGTTGAACAAGCCAACTTGCTCTTAAAAGGAAAGTCACAAGTCAATGATAAAATATAATTAATATTCAAACCCCAATTTATTCAGAGATACAGTACAGGACACATCTTGAATGAGAATAGATGGCACTGTTTTTCAGACATTTCATTCCCCTCAAGAAATCATTTTTAAATATTTGACATTTATAAGTACCACTGTAATTTAAAACAAATAGATTTAACATATTTAAACAAGCTCCAGTAAGTTCAATAAGGCTCCCAGCCCATTGAAGAGACTGGCATACTTGTGCATTGTCTCTTATGAGTACTGGGACAGTTGCACATCTTACACAATGGTGAATGAAAGTTTCACACCATACACATATGAGTTGGAGACCTTGGCACTGGTGTATATGTTTTTGAAAAGTGATTATTTGTAAAGCAGACCTTAACAGCAGAAAGTGCTTTTATCTGGGATTAGACAACAGCCTCTGCTTGAAACGTTAAGAGTATTGTTAGGGACAGGGCACACATGGCAGTGCTTCTATGAAGCAAAAGTCTTGAGGCAAGCTGCATCTACAAAGCAAGCTCACATTCACAGCTGCACTAGCAAAGCAAAGTTAATTTTGTAAGGATGCAGAGACAGGGAAGAAGTATACAGAGAAGGCTGCCCTAAACTATATATGAACAGGCTTTAACTTGCCACAATGAAAAAAATAATCAATCCCTGCTAGAATCATATTTGAGCTTGAAGGCAAAAGTAGAAAATAATGGGACAAAACTGAAATGCACCAGGAGGGGGTGCCCAGAAGTATATAATTGTGATTATTACTACTGCTACATATAAAGTATTTTGTACTGCAGACAGACCTAATTGTCCTTTGAGTTACTTCTATGAGCAAAGCAACCAATAAATAAATATTATTAATAAGAGCAGTGCAGTAGTATATATTTGCTTCTGGCCTTTAAGCCCTGCTTAACTGAGGAATACTTACATATCTGGTGGAAAGGAAGCTGGTTAGCAGAGCTGGAGCATCCTGCTGCCATGGCACTTTTGTGTAGCTTTGCCTTGCTAGCAAGGCTTTCACGGCCCCCACCCTATAGTCAGCTTTCATTTCCCCCCCATCTAAAAACTGTTATAAATGCTGAGGATGCTTGTTCATTGGTTGATGAGACTTACAACAATGGGAACAAAAAGACCATATAGAAAGAAACAGAGGCAGGCTAAGTAGATAAATGTTAGGCAAAAATATGAAACAATGAAGCTAAATGAGTGGATCAAGCCGTGTCGGATTTCTAGCTCCTTTCTTTGGCCTTTCCTCCTCAGTCACTAGGGAGCTGGAGCTTTTACCTCTGCCCACTGCCTCGCCTTTATCCTTACCTCATGTCTCTGCCTACTTCACCTTCCTCTGGGCAGCCTGTCCCTGTTCCAATGTTAGCTACAGGTGGGAGGGTAGCGGGGAAAGAATGCCCTTGTGACATCAGCAGCCATTGTCTCAGGCTTCTCTCCTCTGTTCCTTAGGTGTGCAAAGAAATCTGAGTTGAGGGCAGGCTGCTGATACCACAAAAGAACTGTTCCTCCCCCTTAAGCAGGGACACTTCCTGCTCTCCTGCCTAGTTACTAGGGGAATAGGGCATTTAGGTGGCGCTGTCTCCCAGCTCAAGATCACAAGTTCCCCAAGCACAGTCTTTAGCCTTCCCCCGCTCAGTTTTCTGAAGAGAAGTTGTTCAGGAGGAGGTTTGAGCAGAAGGAGGGACTCCTTCTCAGGACACTAGTCCCGCTCCCCAAATCTCTTGCCTTCCCAATCCCCACCCCTTGCCACCTCCACTGAAATGGTTCAAAGGAAGGAAGGGGAGTGGGGAGAACCAAGCATATGTTTACAGAAACATTAGTGCTTATATGCTTATCATCATACTACACGTGACATTTGCAGGATGCAGGTGGCTTTACATGACCTTGTTTTCACAATCCTGTAACTACTTTGAGTTTATTGATTAAAAAATACTTTAGTGGTCCTTTTGACTCCTATCGTCTTCTCCCACAACTTAACTTGCCTTCATATTCCCTCCTCTCCTTCTTCTGTCCTGTCTCTCTTTATATATTGTGTGTGTGCCCTTTCTATGGTAGCAGGGTAGCAAGAGGGGCATTCTATATGGGGAAGATAAGTACTAGTGTAGGCTTGTTTTGGGTTATCACATGCTATATAATAAACAACATATAACATTCTTTCAAGAGCAAGAACAACAAGGTTCCTTCCTTTCTCTCCAACCATTCTTACCATATGCAACAGGATTCTGAAATATTGGAATCTGAACATCCAGGTGCTCCACATCCCCTCTACCATTCCACCACCATTTCACCATTTGTGTCAAGCACAGTATCTTATCTCACTACTTCAGCAATTAAGTCATGTGATCATCAGATGATATCAAAGACTAGCAGCATCTTGAACCATTTCCATAGAACAGTTTCTTTTCACATTAATTTACAAACATTTACCAAAACAACGCTAGCCACTTTCAGCACTGTGTAATGGAAAAGTGTCTTGTCCTACCGAGATGTCCTGAATTTATGGTTTAGTAAATTATATACAAGATTAAACTCAGATCTGTATCACAGGATATTTCATAACCTCTTTCCTCCCCAGGGCATAATAGCAATATGATGCCTGTCTATGCCACATCATTATTTTCTTGAAGATCAATTACTTCACAGAGTCATTTACACTACCACACTGAAAACAAAAATGTATTTTTTATTCTGTTGGATATGACAAATAGAATTTAGATACAGATATTAGAAAGGTTTGTTGCTGACTTGAGGGATGGCCACACAATCCCACTGATACATGTGGGGAGCTGATTGTAGACATTAAAACAGTTGTGTGGAGCCCCAATTCCACAGATGCATTTCAACAGCACCCCTACTGCTGTGTCTTAATTGGGCCTCACTTTGTAAAAGATGTGTCACATGCACAGAGAAGCAGCAAACATAACAGTGATGATGCCTTCAAGCAAGTACAGAACATTTTCACAACATGATGCTGCTCAGACAAGTAATCCAATCCATGTATTCCAAGGGAAGGAACTCACTTCCCTCCCACCACGTTCACCAGCCTGGAAGTGGGGGAAAATCCTTCCCATTCCCAAGTGTAATGATCAATTAGAACACTGACAGGCAACCTTTAAGGCAAAAGCACCACAAGTCAAGCACAAAGTGTGAGACAGCGCAACACTAGCATACCTTTCAAGACATAGGCTACTTCCAGGATTCGGGGTGATTTTGGCTCCTTTCAATAGTCAAACCTAATAGTTCTCTATTGGACAGTGTTCTCGAAGCTACTAACATGAGTTTGACCAAACTGCGGGAGGCAGTGGAAGACAGGAGTGCCTAGCGTGCTCTGATCCATGGGGTCACAAAGAGTCGAACATGACTAAACAACAACAATAGTTCTCTGGCTATTGTCCAGAAATGCCACAAACTCTGACACTAGGTGCAACCATGCCACAATTTGGCCACCCACTTATGAGCATGAATGCCTATCCTGACATTCTAACATGTAGGCTCTACTCAACAAAAGGCTTCTAGTTACACTTTTCTAGATACAGCAGTTTTAAATGCCTCAACAAATCTTGGGAGGCAGAATGAAGGCTATTTATATTCCACTTTCCCCCTCCACAAAAGGAGGTGCTCAAACCGGCTTTCACAAACAGAAATGCAAAACATAAAAATAACAATAATCCAATAATTAAAACAAATGATCAAACTAAAAACTGCACCAAAAAACAAAGCACAAAACCACATCACTCACAATACTACATTTTATAATGCCCTTATTTCCCACCACAGAGCAAACAACAGCATAGGATGTGTGCTTTTGACTGAAGTATAGTGCAGTAGGAAAAGGGGTGAATAGACTTCCCAAGTGCTGCTTGACCAATCTAATTGGCAGCCTCACTTCAGTTACATTACATTAGAAAATAGAACATCAAAAGTTCCAATCACACAGCTCCAAAGTCATGCGTAGTTTTGCCCTCAGTACCCTGTGGGCCATATTTGAGAAGTCACTGTGAGACTGGAAAACCTTTACTGAAATAACCCTGAAAGAGAGGCTTATAGTTCACCCAAGCCCTAATGAAGCAACAAGATTCTGACAGGTCTATACCTCATTCACCTATTTTTAGTATTCTCATCAGGCATTTCTTCATTTCCCCCACTAATCAGTTATCAGACTCTTATGTCTCAGTCCATTCTCCCCTTCCCATAAGAAAAGAGGAACAGAAGAAATTCTAATGATATTTTATTCCATCATGGCAAAAAAAACAATACCTAAATGATATCATCACATTGCACTCAGTTACTCCACTGTAAATTAGCCTTCGGAGAGTTGCTTCAGCTTTACACCAAAATCTCCTGCTTATATCTCTTTAACCAAATCTGCTCATTTTATGATCAGCTCAAAGACCAAGACTTCCGGCCATTTGTTCACTTACTAATGCTCTAATATTCTATAGGCCTCATCCTGGAATTACACAGTTCTACCCAATGCAATTAAGAGATTTCTGAAGATAATTCTGTCTAAGTTTGCATACTGGAGCCCATCCATGATATAGCCCAGGGGGAAAAGCAACAACCTATTCCCCCCACCCATTACCATTCTGTAACAATGTCTTTGCTGGTCCAATCTCACATACCGCCCCCTACAGGATGGGATGTTATTTGCCACACTTGCTTTTGCAGGCTGCCAAAGGTTATGTCATTCTTGGGTGCCAGTGCTATAAGGAGATTAGTGCAGAGGAAAGTGGGAAAGGAAAATGAAAGACCTTGGGGGAGAGGGTAGAAGGTGACTGGAGGGCAGAGGGAGACGTGAAAAGCAAAAGGGAGTGACAGATTTAAAAAAGAAGAGAGATCAATATTGGGAAGATTAAAGGAGAAAGAGGTAAAATTGAAAACAGAGAGAAACAGACCACCACAGCAAACATATAATTTCCCCCTCTGAACAGTACGTTCACCTTCAGCATTTGCCTTAAGTAAATGACATTGTTATTACAGTAGATGACTAGCTCATCTCCGGTACAAAGTAAAATCCATCCCTACTGTAAAAGATCAGTTTCCAAGCAATGTCTTCCAGGAAAATATTCCCACCACATTCCAAAGTCAAATGGTGCTAGAGAGATTATTTGTTTATTCAAATATAAATCTAGACATACAAAATCATTTGCCAAGGACACAGAGGTCTGGCCTAGACTGGGCTATATTTCCCTCCCCTCAAACACTGTGTACGAATAACCCCACATTTTTAATAAGCTCATTCACTAAAAACAAAATATCCTTTTAAAAAATAAGAGATTTCAAAATCTTAGCCAGCAGCAACTCCAAATTACATAGCCTGTTAACATGACAAACCTATTTGGTTCTTTCAGCCCAACCCTTAAGACAGTCTTTAACACAGAGGAACAATAAAGTACAGTGGATACCAAAAGAGCCCATTACGCACAACTGACTTTTCTTGGCACACTTTCTTAATGCCTTTCCTGATACGGTTAAAAATTAGTCACTATGAATGTTTAAAAAAGAATAAGCAAAGCTCTATATCCACATTGGGAAGAGCTACAAGGACGTTCAAGATTTCAAAACAGGCAGCTCTGTTTCTTCACCATCACACCTGGCTCTTCATTTCACAGTATATATTACTTATTTTTAGAACACTAAAGACAGTAAGCTTAAAGAATGCATACTTAGAAATAACGTCTGTATGAAAGATAATGGTCTTTTCTCCCAAAAGCATTCAGCATTAGGCAGCAGCAGTAATAAGAATGTCTAGTTCAGACATTCACCTTGGTAAAACACAGGTTGTATAGGTAATGAACACTTTGTTCTCCTCTAAACAAAACAGTATAAAAAGAGAAGCATATCCTCAATTGGCCATCTGCTGATCCTTACACGTATGCAAAGTGCCTTCCTCCTCATGCTCTTATATGGAAATTTAGATGGTGCTGCCTCAAAAGTCTGTATCCTTCCCTTTTGTTAAAGGATCACACACACAGATGAATATTCATCACCTTAGTGCTGCCTTCTGATCCCAGGAACAGCGGTGGAAATCCAGAATCACTTTATTGACACTGAAGTGTGCTGGAGATTCGGTTCTTGCCAGCAAACTTTCTAAGAGTATCACAATCCCTTTCCTTTCACCACTCCAAATCCAAAGAAAATGAATGAACGAGTGCACAAGAGGGCAACTGCAGTCCAGTTAAAGATGTACTAACACCAACCGTGTAGCAATGCTAGCGCTTGCCTTTTCTGGTAGATTTTTAGTAGCAGAGAACAGCGCTGCTTAAATATAATTTAATCGCACACTGCACAGAAGAGGAAGGGAGTGAGGAGGGCCAAGCACATGCTCACCACACATACAAAGGCAGAAAACGCACTAAAACTAGGAGGAAAGCGTTAGCCACACCAGCAGACAATTCCACTTAGCTGCTATCTGTTATTTAAAAGTTAACACAAGGTGTCGGAGGGCGGCGGCGGGGAAGAGAGGTAACTGCTGAGAGACCCCATACAGCCAAACCAGAAAGGTGCACATGCATGCACGTTTTAATGGGGGGGGGGGACACCAGACAAAAGGAAAACCGCCATGCGCTCGCTCACTCGCTCTCAAAAAAAAGCACAGAAGCAATGCATCCTAAAAGTAAATAGCAAAGGACAAATACAAATCTCTAAGGAAGGGGGAAAGGGGTGGGGGTCGGATTAGGGAAGGTAGGTGGGTGGGTGGGCTTCTCAGCCTACGGTGAAACCTGGCCAAAAAAATCCCCGACCCCCTGATGCCAGGATTTCTTGCTTCCCACCTTGGCTGAGGGATGCCCCTTAGAAAGAGGAAGAAGCGTTTCTTTTCTTCAGAGTAGCTCCCCGTTTTCCAGTAAATGACAAGAGGCGATCCATATGCCTCCGACTCCCTTTGTTCCTAAACGCTACGAGGGGGAGCGGAAAAGAGAGGGAAGGAGAACGAGGAAGAAAGGAAGAAAAGGGAGCCACCGACAGAGAGAAAGCAGAGCCGCGAAGGATGGGCTTAGGTCCTTCCCTGTGCGCCTTTGCTCTCCCAATATATATGTAATAATATATATCTATATCAAAAATCCCTCGGAAAAGAGCCTCGGGTACCTGTAGCAGCGGCACCCCTCTGACCAGGTATCTGTCCAGCGCCTTAGCTGCCCGTGGGTCTGTCCCGTGTGTCCCGGGGAGAGTGCCAAGGCGGACTAACAGGGCTGCGAGGGAGGAAACGGTAATTTATAAGCGCTTTCTTCCTGACCTCTCGTGTCTGTTGTCTAATGAGCGAGCGCCGAGCATCACCCATCCTGCTGAGTGGAAAAACACCAGCTCGCCTCGTCTTTGGCGGGGGAGGCGGGGAGAGGGAGGAGGGGGGAGCGGGAAGGAGGGGCCATCTTTCCGTCAGTCCCTTTCGACACACACGGGGGGGGGGAGCGGGCGGGGAGAGGGAGGAGGGGAGGCTCGGCTGGCAGGCGGCCCGGAGGGCTGCGCGAGGCGGGGAAGGGCCGCCACAGGCGCGGGGAGGAGGAGGTGGGAGCAGCTGCCTGGCCGGGAAAGAGAGCCAGCGGCTCCGGGCGTGTGCCAAGGAGGCGGGAAAGTCGCGCCTTTATTCCCCCCCTATCCACCCGCACCCCCCGGCGGGTGAGAGAAAAGGAGAAACGGCGCGCGCGCGCTCGACAGGAAAATGGGGGGGGGGCAGATTAACCGTCGAGACTGCCGTTGTGAGGGCGCTGCAGAAGGGGGCTTCCTCCCTCCCTCCCTCTTTCCCCCTCCTCAGGCTGTGAGGAGGCGCACCAACGCTATAATTTCGACTCCCCATGCTCTACAACGCGAGGGTTTCTGCCTCCCCCCCCCAACTTCCCAATCCCAGTTTAGAGAGACGGGGAGGGGGTAAACAGAAGAAGAAGAGGGCGCCATTTCGCAAACGGTCGCAAAATCCCGGTTTGCCGCCGGGCGTCGGTTGCCTCAGCGCGGAGCCGCCGCCCCAACGCAGCTCCCCCATTGGCTGCGCCGGGCGCGCGCCCGCTCTCAAACACGTGTTCGCCGCCTTCCTTGCTTAGGTGGGGTTGTAGGCTTGAAGCACCGAAATGTGTGGGCTGTGGGTCTGAGTGGGCTTCAGTGAACCCGCTCCAATTATTATTATTAAATTTATATACTGCCCTTTATCCGAAGATCCCAGGGCGGTGTACAACATTAAAAACAGAATTTGCATTGCATAATAATAAAGGACAATAAAACAATAACGGGGGGAGGGGGAATCTTGATAACATTCCCCCCCCCACATATTTAAAATGCCATAGACCAGTGATTCCCAATTAGCTAAGAACTGCAGACCCTGGTTTTTAAAAGCCAAGCCATGGGCCCCATACTTTTGAAAATGTTATCTCTAAGGTAGTAGTTTTGTTATTTGAATGGTGCCATGGATCCCCTGGGTGGGTTACGTGGACCTCCTGGGGTCTGCGGACCACCAGTTGGGAACCACTGCCATAGATTGTTTAATGGCCAAAGGCCTGGATAAAGAATGTTTTTGCCTGGCACCTAAATACTGGTACATATAATGATGGCTCCAGGCGAGTTTCTCTAGGGAGAGCATTCCACAGATAATTCCAACGCAATAAAACGAATTGTATGCAAAATGTGTATGTGTTTTAAGTGCATTTTTTTCTGGGGAGAGGATCTATAGCTTTCATCTGATTCTCAAAGGAGCATGTGACTCCTACCCCACCCCCCATGTTAAGAACAGTGATCTAAAGTGTATGCCCAAAAGTAGTGAGTTGAGGTGTGGTGTAGTTGAAGGAAACTGGATGGCCACCAACTTGGGTGGTTTAGACAAATAACTGGAGGATAAGGCTATCAACAACTCGCCAGGACGGCTGTTTCACCCGTGTTGGAGGCCTCTAAAGACCAGTTGCGCAAGTGGGGAGAGTGCAGTTGTCCGCATGCCCTAGCTGGCATCCTATGGGCACAGGGTTGGCTGCTATGAGAACAGGAAAGCACTAGATGGGCCTTTGATCTGATCCAACAGTTCTCTAATTATGTTTCTTGCATGCTAGTTCTTTTTTAGCTGTTATAAGACCTTGGTGGGCAAGTCACACTCTTCACTTATTTTACCTCGCAGGATTATTGTGGGATTGAAACTTGTGCATTAGAGGACAGAGAAATCACAAATAATAAATCTATTTTAAGGTCTTACAAATAAGTCACTTATGCTTTCTTGAGCTGGCATGGATGATTTTTGGAAGCATAAGAAATAAATCCTACCAGATAAAACTGAAGCATTCTGCGTCCTCTATCCCTCTGGAGACCTGAAATTTATGAATTCTTTTTCCCTCCAATAACCAAAGTTCATAAGTTTTTATACCACAAAGATAAATGTCAATTTTTCAAAGTTTTCCATTGCTGGCTTATTGGAATCCTAGTGGCAGCTAGCATCCATGTCAAAAGTTCTTCAGAGCAACACACTTTCCTGTTATCAAGACTTCAATAATGACAGTTGTGAGGAAGCCTGAACAGGTGATATAATTATTTTAGATGTTTCATGACAGACTTGAGACCAGAGTAATGAAACCCAAGAGCATTCCCACTAAAGATGGGAAAATATCCTTCAGAGGCCGCATCCCCACCAACAGGCAGAAGCTTTGCTAGATGCATCATGTAACTACAGTCCACACACATCTGGGATGACAGCTTCCGGGGAAGAGGGTGTGCAGGCATGGACTTGCCATCAATTCAAATGAATCATTGTTTGAGATCACCCCCCTATATCTGCCCTTTCATCCTCACCCAGTGATGTAAGGGACATCTGATAATTTTGTTGAGATCAGGCCAATAAAGGGGGGGGCATCAGTGCCATGTACCTTTACTTAGAAGACTTTGCCAGTATGTGAGTGTGACAAAATGGGAAGGACAGAGAGATGCAGTCTGCCACAGATGCAAATGTGGAGCACAAAAATAGGGAAGCAGCCTTCTTCAGAAAAATGAAAGTGCAAAGTTACCACAATAAACAAAGTCAAACAGAGAAAGCTGAATTTTCTGATAGATCACAGAATGCTGAGGAGTAGATGCACTTCTCCAGAGATTACAATAATAAAAGATGGCAGGCCTTTGCTTGAAAAACTCCACTTCAGCTCTTTACAAAGGGATGGTCCCAGCGCTTGGATTAAGGGAGACGTATTTTCCACAGAATCCCCTTAACATTTATATCAGCTGCCTTAACTACTGTTTTTAGAAGGTCGAGTCTGTGAATGAGAGTGATAAATTGGCTAAAGAAGGAGTGAACCAGGGATTGGATCTTGTCAATGTCATTAGCTTCACTCTCCGCTGCCCCCCACAATAATCTGGGCACTGAGCAACCATCAAAAATAAATAAACGATGTAATCAGACAAATCAGAAATCATCTCTGTTTAGGTGATGGATATGGTCGGAAAGAAAGCAGTCGAGATCAAATCATTCGGATTTCAATCTTGCTGAAAGATGAAGAAAACAACAGCCGAAATGATCAGGGGGTTGTAGCAAACTCCCCTGAACATTACACTGTGATCAGAGGCTTACCTAGACAGCTTTCAAATAGTAGACAAGTGAATGAGGGACTTTGTTTATTTTTGATAGAATGATTCTTATTTAATAGAATTTACATACTACTTAATCACTAAAACCTCTAGGTGTATGCTAACCCCAGGATCAGAGAGAGCCTGTGTCTGAATACCAGCAGCTGAGGAATATTAGTGAGAGAGAGAGTTACTGCCCTCATGTCCTGCATGTGGTCTGATGTAATGGTTAGGAAGTTGGACTAGGAATCAAGAGACCAAGGCTGAAATCCCCACTTGACCCTGAGCCAGTCACTGCCTCAGCCTAACCTACCTCACATGAGTTGTTGTGAAATAAGGAGGGGGAAGAACCATATGCACCATGAGCTCCTTGAGAAATGGGTGAAACATAAATGCAATAGATAGATGGGTGGTCCTTAAGATCTCTTAACCCTTTGCTCTGGCCTTGGAGATGGCTGCAGCCCTGCAAGAAGCAGATATGATTGCACTGAAAAGGCATCACGGCATGCAGGAATTTTGCTGCGTTGAAAAGGCACATATCTTCTACACCACCACCACCACCCTTAATTTTGATTCAGTTCTCTTGTTTCATTGAATTCAACATGTAGATGTAAAAAACAATCAGGCTACTTTGGGGCACCAGTGCATAAGAGGAAACAAAGATGTTTTGGAATCAAGAGTGCATAATAAACAGTACCTGGAACTGAGTAAAGGAATAATAATAGTAATAATCAATCTTGTATGACACAAGATTGGGTACTGGTAGTCCTTGTTTTGTTAAACAGAATCACACAGCGGAGTCCTTCAGGATGATAATATGAGTGTCGACTTACATTGTAGGGCTCCCATTCTAAAAATTCCTGTTCATGAGCACAGTGGTCCAAATCAGTAAGGCTGAGAACACTAAAGTGCTTCCAATTGAACCGTGTCCCATTAATATTTGCACCCTTAAATACCACCAAAGTAGTTTAGGAGTAATTACCAGTAATTCCTACTGGGTTGTGCTTGCTTTACAATTTGCCCATCAGGTTGTTTCGACCTGCAAGGCTGGAGCATTGACACACATTTCCCAGCAATGTCAGATTACACCATGGGGAAGCACCTCCTACATGACTGGGCATATGTGGGAAAGGGGCCTGAGTTTCCCTGAAATGTATAAATATGTTGAGTGGTCCCAGGGCCGGACCTACTGTTAAGCAGAGTGAAGCAGTTTATTCAGGCAGCAGGTGCATTGTTTTTGCTGCAAGAGACTTGATTTTAAGTTGGTGCCTAGGACCTCGTGTGAGATGTAAGGGTTGTTGAAGTGATTGGGAACAAAGACCATAGCGCTATAAAATTCAATATATATGTGAATGGACAATTCCAAACCCTGCACGGTCACATTTGACTTCAAAAGAGGAAACTTCCCAAAAATGAGGGAATTGGTAAAAAGGAAGTTGAAAGGGAAAGCCGCAAAGGCCACATCTGCAATATACTTGGGGGTTGCTTAAAACCACAATATTAGAAGCTCAGCTAGATGGTATACCACATATCAAGAAAGGTACCACTAGGGCCAAGAGGATGCCCACTTGATTAATAAGGAGAGTCAAAGAATCTATTATAGTGGTACCTCGGGTTAAGTACTTAATTCGCTCTGGAGGTCCGTTCTTAACCTGAAACTGTTCTTAACCTGAAGCACCACTTTAGCTAATGGGGCCTCCTGCTGCTGCCACGCCGCCGGAGCACGATTTCTGTTCTCATCCTGAAGCAAAGTTATTAACCTGAAGCACTATGCGGAGTCTGTAACCTGAAGTGTA